GGGAATGGGGATTTTGCAGTATCCTTTTCCCAGGAGTGGGGAGGGAATGGAGTTTGCAGTATCCTTTCCCCAGGAATAGGGAGGGAATGGAGATTTTGCAGTATCTTTCCCCCAGGAGTGTGGAGGGAATGGGGATTTTGCAGTATCCTTTCCCCAGGAGTGTGGAGGGAATGGGGATTTTGCAGTATCCTTTCCCCTGTAGTGGGGAGGGAATGGGGATTTTGCAGTATCCTTTCCCTGGAGTGGGATGAATGGAGATTTTGCAGAATCCTTCCCCAGGAGTTGGGAGGGAATGGAGATTTTACAGCATCCTTCCCCCTGGAGTGTGGAGGGAATGGGGATTTTGCAGTATCCTTTCCCTGGAGTGCAGTGGGAATGGGGATTTTGCAATATCCTTCCCCTGCTACATACCCCAAGTCACGCTCACAGAACCGGTAGTAAAAAAAGTTGAATTTCACCACTGGGGCATCTAGTTTTGAGTTGGCAGCTCTGCCTCCAGATCTCCCTGCCCTGAGATCAATAGGTCTGAGCCTGCCAGGTGTCAGGAGAGCCAACCTGAGCAGATGTTAAAAACGTGCCCCACCCTCACCCAAAAGGAGAGATCAGGGCTTTTCTGTAGATCAGTCAACAATGGGAGAGGAAATTTAAAAAAACCAAAAAACCAAAAAGGGGTGGGGGTGGGTGGGGCAACAGAATGGAAGCAGTGCCATGGGGCACGACTGACTGTCTGCACGAAGGAGTACAGTTTGTCATATTGCTTACAAGGTAGTATTTTATCCAGCCTCTTCCCGCCAAGGACCTGTAAACCGGACTCTGTTCCAAAACCTTCCTCCGCTTCCAGGGGCCAAGGCAAGGGATGGGCACTGCTCTGCCGGGCTGTCAAGAAAACTAATTTAGAGAAGGGACTCCTCAGGCAGGTCACTCCTTTTCCTCTAGCCACCGATCCTTACTTTTGCTCCCTTCTAACAAAGTCCTTTGAAATGGGCTCACCAGAGATCAAAACTGGATTCAGCGTTGGGGGAGGGGGCTGCCTTAAGGAAAGCACTAACTGGAGGGTCCCTCCCTACCTTGGAAAGCCAGAGCAGGCAGGCAGCTGGAAGCAAAGGGCGCAGAGCTCCTACAACTCCTCTGTCTCACAGCCCCACAGGTGCGTGTTTGTGTGTGTCTGTGTGAGTGTGTGTGTGTGTGTGAGAGAGAGAGAGAGGCGAGCAAGGGCAGAGGACGGACAGCTTCCATCTCTATCACGACAGCTAGCCGTCCGTTTGGCCCAGACTTATGGTGCAAAATGGCAGAGGATCACCAGGATATGGGGCAGGGCGATGGCACCAAGCTCTTCTTGCCATGTTATTTGCAACACCCCCCCCCCAAAGGTGCTGAGCAAGAATTCATTGGGGGGGAAGGAGGAGGAGGGGAGGAGAGGGTGTCGCATTTACACTGCAGCGTGACAACAAGGATCACAAAGAGACAGGGGCAGAAATGCACGGAGCCCGGAGAAGAGGAGCAGAGCTCCAAAGAGCTCAGTCTTGAGTCCTTTCCCCACTTCTCCTCTGCCAGCAGCAGCAGCCACGCCAGGAGGGGAGGCGAGAAGAGGCCAGAGCCTCTGTCGGACTGAAAGGACATGCTGAGCCCAGAGGGGCTGTTTTCTTACCGGAGAGCGGGTCTGAGGCTGCGTGCTCATCGCCTGAGGGGCCTGGGGGTACACCAGCGTGGTGGGTGCGGCGTTCTGTCCCGCGGGGTACGGAGCCTGCCACAGAAAAGAGAAAGCAATGTTGGCAAAGGGATGGAGCCGGGATTTCCACCCATCCCTCCCTGCGTGGACTCTTGACTGGCAACTATCCACCTCCCGGGACTCCCCGGTTCCAGCAGACTCTGGCCATGAAAGGAGGGAGATCGTTCCATCGTAAAGCAGGAAAAGAAGGGTCCTGCAATCCCGGAATTCCAGACAAGCCCCAACCCCACCCCAGGCAGGCTGAGAATCCTGCTCTTCCCACAGAGTCTTCCAGGCAGACGGAGATCACTCGTTGGACCCTTATTCGCCTTATTGCCCCTGGGCTGGCTTTCTGGCCGTGCCTCCCCATCATCTCAAGCACACCCCGACAACCCATTCGACGTTAAGAGGGGAGGAATTTTAGATGGGCAAGAGGGGAGTCTCCCCCCCCCCGCCACGAGCACTTCAAACAGACAGGAGAACCAGGAGTCAACTCTTCTGAGAGCAGCTAGGTTAACAAGAGTGAGAACCAGTGATCATACAAGTGCCTAAATGTTTTAATATTTGAGGAGACTCAAATTGTGTCACACATGAGGCTGTGATAGCAGTCTCTTATCCTGGGCCACGCTGCACACAAAGCAATTAACCATGAGACTTGAGGCATCATACCAGTGAAGGCTGATCTTTTACGTCATCGCGTGACAACCTGCATGCCGGAAATAGCACGCAGAACCATCCCGCCTGGAATGCGCAGCCTCGCTGGCCTTCGGGTATGCGGGAGTGCCAAAACCTGGAAGAGCAGCGTCCCACCATGCATGCGCACGCTGGCACCCGAACTTCCAGTTTTCAGCGCATGTGCGCGCCCAACAAACAACTGGCCGTCGTGCATGCGCACACCTGAAACCCAGAAGTTTGGGTGCCAGCGCATGCATGCCTGGCAGAATGCTGGTCTTCCAGGTTTCAGCGGTGCCGCATGCGTGACAGCCAGCTGGCCAGCGCGCATGCGGTCACAAGAACGTGGAAGAGGAGCCAGCGAGGCCGCGCGTCCCGCACAGAGTGACTCTGCGTGCCGCTACCAGCACGCGTTCCGTAGGTTCATCAACACGGCCTCCTACTATTCTTCGTGACTACTTAATAAACCAAAATGCTCATCCGATTGGGCTTTTGCCTCGACTATATCAACAAGCGGCAAAATATCGGAGGCAGGAACCAATCTGGGTGAGCTGTCATCTTCTCTTCCCTCTGAAAGCAGAAGCCACTTCAACTGTGCCATCAGGAGTGGGCAGGAAATCCTCCGTTAAACTAGGGTGGCCAACTAAAGGAGAGCCCTGTGCTACTCAAGGGAAGGCAGGAAGAAAACTTTCCACGTCTCTTAAGCTGGCTAGTCTGCTCTGCTCGGGTCTTAAAAAACAGGTGGCAGCAGCGAACCCTGGTTTGTTCATTCCCCAGAGCAGTAACCCAATTTGACCATGCTCAAGCACTCACCAAAACAGTGAGAGGACGGAAAGTCAGGGTCACAAAGAGGAACTCGTGGCACCCGAGCGTTGGAAGCCCACAGAAGGAACCCCCAGTATGCTTCAGCTTCTCAGGAATTTTCTCGCCACAAAGCCCTCTCAAGTCTATCCGCTCAAGTCAGCCAAAGAGCAAGAACTATTTTTACCGGCTTGCCAAACTAGTTGATAGTCACTAGGCCTGCTGTGCAACAAGATCTCCACACTCCTAGCTAGGCTGGAAATAAACAAGAGACATAATTCTGTTGCATCACTCTGTGTGTGTGTGTGTGTATGTATTACAAAATGCTGAGTCACAGGCAGCTCTTTCGTTTCCAAATCTCAGCAGCACCAGCGTAATGGAAATGCCCACAACTCTACCGTGCCCGAAGTCTCTTGGCCCTGCCAAGCACCCTCCACCCTGCAAAAGCAATAAGACTGATATACCGCTTTCACAGTGCCTTTATCGCCCTCTTTAAGCAGTTTTACAGAGTCAGCCTATATTGCCCCCAACAATCTAAATCCTCATTTCACTAACCTCGGAAGGCTGAGTCAACCTTGAGCCAGTCAGGATCAAACTCCAGGCAGTGGGGCAGAGTTAGCTTGCAATACTGCATTCAAACAATATCTCACAAGCAGAGCCAACAAATCACCCCTCTCTCAGCTCAGGCCTGCCTCAGAAGTCACACACCGGGCTGGGCTGGGCTGGGCAGGTCAACACCGTCCGCTGCGAAGCCAGCGTTCACACCCCTTGGGATTTAATTCCGCTGTCCACAAATGCCGGGAGTTCCTGAACCGCGCCTGACTACCTGCTGTGATCCACTGAAGAAGCTCAATTCAGAAAGGTTTTGCAGAGCTGCTGCCAAAACAGCTCGCTCAATGACCATCCATCACCTCTCTCTGTGGGAGAATGCCATGGCACTAAAGCTCCTGGAAGCCTCTCCTTTCTCCATCAAGAGTTCCCTTGGCTATTTATGGAAAGGAAAACCTTTCTCCGTGTCCTTTAGTGATAAAAAGCCGAACCAAAACTCAGCAAATGTGACTTTTCAGGTAACCCTAGGACATGAGAACACTGCCGCAGATACCGGGGACGTGAACCTACAGCCCTCTGAATGTTTCCCAAGGCTTGGGAAGCATAGGAGGGCTCAGACTCCCTTAGAGGAGTCTCTCTCTCTCTCTCTCTTGGAGGAGACAAGAAAATGTATCCCTTTTCGACCACGTTATGAACGAAATCAAGTCGCTTTCTCCTCCCAAGGGGATTTCTAAATTACACACAAAATATTTTGAGGAGGCTGACAAGCACAACAGCTAGTTGTGCTAGTCGTTCCTGACTCTAGCGGGTGCTGCTCATCTCCATTTCAAAGCCAAAGAGCCAGCGCTGCCCAAAGACGTCTCCGTGGTCACGTGGCCGGCATGACTCAACACCCGAAGGCGCATGGAACGCTGTTACCTTCCCACCAAAGGTGGCCTCTATTTTTTCTACTTTTTTTTTTTTTTGCATGCTTTCGGACTGCTAGGTTGGCAGAAGCTGGGACAAGTAACGGGAGCTCACTCTGTTACGCGGCGCAAGGGGTTCGAACTGCCGACATTTCTGATCGACAAGCTCAGCGTCTTAGCCATTGAGCCCCTTTAGAGCAGAGGTTCCTGAACACTGGTCGGGACTCCCTGAAAAATCTCCAGCAACTTGGGGGGAGGAAAACAAATCTGGATTGGGCTCGCCTTTAAGCCTAGCAGGACAAATTACTCTGGGATTTGATCCCACTTTTTACCCATGGAAGCCCGCTGAGAGACGACGACGTTTTAGATTAAAAATGATTGCAAGCAAATGATGGAAGCGCTAGTTTTATTCGGGGGGGGGGGAGATGGAACATGACTGCACTTCCCCCTAAATCTGATTTAAAGCAATTAGTGAAGCTTACATCTCAAAGGCTCTTTTTTTCCTTAATGAGGGAGGGAACACAGATAAAGGTGAAGAGCCTGTCAGATTTCCGCAGAAAGCCAGGCCAAAGAAGATTTGGGGAGGGTGGGCTTATTTATCCAGAAGCTGAAATTCCCCACCCGGGAGCACCTCCTTCGCCGTTCCTGATTAGCATTAAGGGCCGCCAGACTTTCTCTCGCCAAATCATCCAAGTGTTTCTATTACGTGTTTAAGTCCCACAAGACGGGAGGGAGAGAACTTTGTCGAGGCAGCTTTGAAAAGGCAGCTGGAACCCAAATGTTTTGAGACGGACCCTCACTTCCCAGGGTTTCTGGATTTGGGAACGGACTTAAAACAAGCAGGCTTCCAACCCACGGCTCACGACAACCAAGAAAGCAGCTTTCCGTCTGCCAACGGATTCATGCCACCAACTGGAACCGCGAGCCCAAACAGGGAGGAAGTCTATTTTCTGGAATTGCAGAAATGGGATAAGCAACGAGGAGGGGGTTTTCCTTCTCTCCTTCTCTCCTTCCTCGGAGATCTCCCTGAAAAGGGGGAAAGGCTGCGAAGGACAGGGCCCCCTGGGGTCGCACACAGAGAACACTGATTCTTCGAGGCCATTTTTCTCACACCAGGCTGATTCTCTTTATCTTCCTTTTTGGGCAGCAAACGAAGTCCGGTTTGCACCATCAATGCCTTTCCCTGCCCAGTCCCCGAGGGTGCAGCAAAACGCTTCTTCGTCTTCCAAGTTCCCTTTTTGAGGAGCTCAGAACCGAGGCTAGTGGGGGAAACGGAGAACCCACCGCTCTCGCCAGGACAGTTAATGCCAAGGCTGGGGAATGCAACCAGCTGCCCCCTTCTAAAGAGAAGAGAAGAGAAGGCCTCCCCCATCCTGCTCGGAATTTCATGGGCAATCTCTGTACTTTACGCTTCCCAAGGCTGAGCAACAGCACGGCCCAAAATTACCCGGAGGCGACCAGATGCCTCCCAGCCCAAAATGCCGACCTGTCCTCCGTATCCGAAAGTTACAGGGCCTGCACAAACTTCTGTGGAGTTCCCCACACACCCCCTTGCGGGTCTGCAGGAGGGGGGGGGAGGTGTATGTGTCCACACAACAAAATCCGAGACCAGGCTGGTCCAGTGGGCATCACTGGACTTTTTTTTTTTCCTCTTGTGACTCACCATCCCACATCCCAGAATCCTTTGCACCAGTTCCCTTGGATCTTCAAAAAGACTGCTGGCTCTTGGGTGGGGTGGAAAGCTTCTGTCCCTCCTCCCTCCTGGCTGCTGGAGCGAGAGTGAAAGAGAGTGACAGAGTGAGAGAGAGAGAGAGAGAGAGAGAGAGACAGAGGAGGAAAGTGACAGGGGGCACAGAGAGAGAGAGACAAGAGAGAGAGAGACAGAGAGAGCAAGAAGGGCAGAAGGAAGACGGGCAAAAGGGGAAGTGCATCTTCTCCCCTCCAATCACTTTGCAGGATCTCTGGGGGGGGTGGGGTTGCATGTCCTGGGAGAGGGGGCTCTCCTTTTCGCCAACTACTAAGCACAAAAAGCAAATTCAGCTTTTCAGAAATAATCATCCTCCTCTTGATAGTGAACATCAACCCACAGCGGGGACCCCACAGCTATTTCTCCACCAGCTTTCCTTGGGACCCTAAGTGCCAGGGCCACCCCCAATAACTCCCCCCCCCCATCTAGAGGAAGTCCATCTTGTCTCTAAACTGCTGGGGGGGGGAGGCCATTTCCTTAAGCCCCTATTGGCAGCCCCTCCCCTCTTTTTTCCAAGAAGCCATCCGCTAGCTCTCCAGCCGTGTCTGTTTGTGTGTGTGTGAAAGGGGCAACTGAAGGCGCTGATACAGGCCATCTTTTGGACAGAGCATATCAACACTCTCCAGAGAAATGGCAAAGGGGGAGAGACCCCCATCAATCGACTGAGACCAGGGGCTCAGATTCCTTCCTGGGATCAACTCGCCAAGGCATCTGCAACAGAACAGGCACAGCACTGACTTTAACGCCAACAGGAGCAGAGGTGGTATTCAGCTGGTAGTGGTAATCCCGGCTCTAAGCCATCCCGTTTAGGCAGGTTTTCGAGCCAAAGCACAATTTATAATTCAACTATCGTATTTTTTGGAGTATAAGGTGCACCTTTTCCCCTCAAATAGAGGCTGAAAATCTGGGTGCGACTTATACACCGAATACAGCATTTTTGGCTCCCCAAACCCCCAAAATGGCCATGCATAGCCTTTAGGAGGCTTATAGAGTACTCCTGAGGACAAAAGTGAGCGAAAAATTGGCTGTTTTTTGCCCGTGTTTACCCCACCACAAGCCCCTAGGAGCACTCTATAAGCCTCCTAAAGGCTATGCATGTCCTTTTTTTGACAAAAAAATGGGCCCGGTTTCAGAAAAAATATCGTTTTTTGGTGTTTTGGTCCCTCCCCCACCCCCAGGAGCACTCTAAAAGCCTCCTAAAGGCTATGCATGTCCTTTTTTTGACAAAAAAATGGGCCCGGTTTCAGAAAAAATATCGTTTTTTGGTGTTTTGGTCCCTCCCCCACCCCCAGGAGCACTCTAAAAGCCTCCTAAAGGCTATGCAGGCCCCCCCCCTTTTTTTTTTTTGACAAAAACGGGCCCGTTTTCATGAAAAATGAGCCATTTGGGGAAGTCTGCAGAGTGCAAAAACTTTTTTTAATTTGCCTCTTCAAAATCTTGGTGCGTCTTATACTCTGGTGCATCTTATACTCTGAAAAATACGGTAAGTGAATACCACCCCTGATGTACAGGTAGTTCTCAACTTACAATTGTTCATTTAGGGACCATTCAATGTTACAACGCCGCCGCAAAATGTGACTTAGTACAGTTTTTCACATTTTCCCGACTTTTCCAGCCCTCCCACCCCCACCCACCCCCGGTCAGGGGATCAACATTCAGAGGCTGGGCAAACCGCTTCATGTTTATGACCGTTGCTGGGGGGGGGGCAGGTCACACGATCCCCTTTTGCGACCATCCGACAAAGCCATGTCAATGGGAAAGCCGTGTTCACTAACCAAGTGGGTTACTAAACTTATGAACTGCAGCGATTCCCTTAACAAAGGAAGGTGGCAAGGAAAGGTTGTAAAATGGGGCAGACCTCACTTAACAAACGTCTTGCTTCGCAACGTAATTTTGGGGGGCTCGATTGTGTTTGTAAGTCGAGGACTAGCTGTACATTTCTCCGGCACGTTTAGGAAAGGATCTTAGAATGAAAGCGATGTGACCCACTGTCCCACTCTTCAGCTGACCCCACAACTGCAGGGCGAGCAGGGACGGCAGAGGCCTGACACGGGAAGGGAAGGAGGGGAGAGGAGAGAGAGAAAGGCAAGATTAACCATTATTTGGATCAAGGAACAAGAAGCGCCCCTTTTACTGACAATCCGCCCGATGAACGGGACAGGCCTGCGCGGGGGGAAGAGGGCGCCCTCTTGTCTCAAATTAAAATCCAGCCGGACGGGCAGAAGCCCAGCAAATGGATTCCTCTTCCCAAAGGCTGGGTCAGCCACGTTGGTTCAGATTAGAAATCAGGAGAAACGAAATGAAGGGGAAATGGCCTCTCAGAAAGCAGATTTGGGTGCTCAAGAGAGGGTCGTGCAATTTTCCCAGGAGTTGCATGTGGGGAAGGTGGGCTGGCCGTTCCTCAGGGACATCAGGAGAACCCCCAAAAGACGGAGAGGTGGGGGCACAAACACAGCCAAGGAGGGACTGGTTTGTCACAGCGGCCGGTCCAGGACGTTCTCAGGAGCTTCCGCAAGACTAAACTATCTTCTTCTTTTTCTTTCCATTTATTATTAATCTGTCCTAGTAGGCTGCCAGGCCCACCGCTGCTGGGTTCAGAAGTTAAACATCCCCCCTCCCAAAAAAACGCACACACACCCCATGAGCCATGGCCACAGTGGGAGACGAAGGCCACCTTGTTCCTGCATGACATCAGCTCAATCCTCTGGGCCCAAACTCCAGCTAGAGAGACCAGAGCTGCTAAAAAACCCATCCGAGGAGGGAATCTGTGTTCGAGACAAGCCATCCTGAACCAGCATCCATGGCTGCCCAGTGCCTGCCTCCAGCTTCTGGCGGGCTTTGGTTTACTCTAAGCTGCCATCATGGCGGAGGCTGCTGCTGCTTTTTAAAGCGCTACCGCTGCAACCCTTCTTCTCTCTATGCTTTTCTTGGGGTGGGGGGTGGGGAATGGCTTCTGACAGGAAAAGAAAACGAGGCGCATACAGAGAGGGGAATCAAACCACCATCTGTTAGCCAAAAGGAAACCTCGAATGAAACAAGGTTTTGGAGTGGGTGGGAGGGTGAAGAGTGTGAAATGCTCCCTGAGCAATCCAGATGTGGTCGGGGGAAGGTGTCCAGCCCCGCTAGGTCCCCCCCCCCACCTCCTGTGCCCAGCCTGACACCCCCCCTCCCGGGTTTTGGGGAGCCAAAACTCAAATCCCCGAACGAGAAGCCTCCGATCTTACCTGAGTGAGACCAGGGGAAGAGGCATGTCCGGGGGGTGTGGCAGCAAGGGCTGGATGCCCCTTGTTTATTTCATGAGGAGAGTAAGGGGAGGGGGCAGGAGGGCCTGGCTGTCTTGCCACCTGCGTAACCTGTGAGGAGATAAGCTGTTAGTGAAATCACAACGGAGTAGAACTGTCTCCACAAAGTAAGCATCCCGGGCAATGGGAGCCCATCGCTTGGGCTCATTGGAGGAGCTGGAAAACCGCACATTTATGTTTTAGTGCAGGGATCGGCAACCTTAAACACTCAAAGAACCACAAAGGTCCTAACCAGAAGCCCCCCCCATTCAATTCTGGAGCCGACCGGAAGTCCGGTTCCCCCACCATAGAGTCTCCTCCTAGCACAGTGTCCCTTTTTCCTCTACCTGTCCTAACTGAAAAACCTATCAATTGTGGAGCCAACAGGGAGCCACAGCAGAGGGATGAGATCGCCATATGCGGCTCTAGAGCCGCAGTTTGCTGGTTTAGTGGCTCTGACTCCAGATAAGATTCCCAAGGACCTGTTTGATCCTAGGTAGGAGAAAAAGAGCTGTACCCTTAATGGATCACTTTCACCCAACAAGAGAAAAACTAAGGGTTTCTTCTGTAGACAAAAAAGGCTTGGGGGGAAACTCCCGGGCCCCTTCAATGGCACTGGGTTCTTTCTTCACAAAGGAAGAGAGCCACCAATAACCGCCTGGCCGTGGGTGGAGACAAGGCCAGCCCACGTGGGTGGGATAGGAAAGTCAAGGCCCACTCTCGGAAGCCTGAGTGAGACACGGCTGCAAGGGAGTGAGTAAATGGACAGAAAAATCCACAGAAAGGAACTCTCGCCAATCTTGGCTAAACTGAGATGATCCATGATCAAAACTGAGGCTTAAAGATAAAAAGACCGGGGACACATCCTGTCCGCCATCTAATTAACGCCCTTGTTTCAAAGGCAGCAACGCAAAGTGGGCTCTAAAGAGGCAAGAGACAGATTACCATCTTCTTTGATCAACCCTTTGGTGGGAGAAAGCAGAGCTCCAATTCCCTCGGCAGCCTGGGGGCTTTAGCTCGAAAGAGGTGCCCTCCCTGGGAGAGGCCTCCTCTTCACAACAGAGGGAGCCCCACCGCAGCCATCTTCCCCATCAGCCCTGGTCTGGCTCCATCTTTCAGGCTAACCCAGCGGGAGGCAGGGAAACCTCTGGAGATATTAGCTTGCACCCCATGTGAACGGGGAAGATGCTCACCAAGGGCATCTGCCCATTTTGTGGGTCATTTTGTTTTTCATTTCCATGTGATACCTTCCTCTAACACAGGGATCAGCAACCCGCGGCTCTGGAGCTGCATGTGGCTCTTTCATCCCTCTGCTGCGGCTCCCTGTCACGCCAGGGGAAATTCTAAGGCAACGGGCGGGTTTTCCTGTCAGCTCCACAATTGATAGGGCTTTCGGTTAGGACAGGTAGAGGACAAAGGACGCCACGCTAGGAGGAGACTCTATGGTGGGGGAACCGGATTTCTGGTCGGCTCCAGAACTGAATGGGGGAGCTTCCAGTTAGAATCTTTGTGGCTCTTTGAGCGTTTAAGGTTGCCGACCCCTGCTCTAACAGGATGCAGTTCTGGGCTGCATTCCATTCTCAAATTATCAACATTGATCATTTCCTTTCTATCTACAAGGAAGAGAGCAAATGGCCCTTTTAACGTTGCTATTATATTTAATTGAATATCATTTACTTATATTAATATATTAATCATATTAATTATAAATAATTTAATTGAATGGAAACCGAGTGGAGCAAGTGGCCAGTTTTAAGTTTCTGGGTGTCGTAATAAAAAGAGGACCTAACCTGGGGCGCTTACATTGCAGCACTGGTCAAAAGCGCCCAGCAGAGATGATACTACCCGAGACTTCTCAGGAAATGACAACTAAATGAAAAACAGCTGGTGACCTTCTACCGCTGCACCATTGAGAGTATTTCAACTTACTGCCCGTATTTGGTTTGCCAATTGCCCAGTGGCAAATAGGACAGCGCTCCAGAGGGTCAACGTCATTGCCCAGAGGATCATGGGTTGCCCCTCTCCCCTCTTTGGAAGAGCTTTATAGTTCCCGCTGCCTTAAAAAAGTTCAAAACATTCTTAAAGATCCATCTCACCCTGGGCTCCCCCCCCCCTTTTTTTTTGAACTATTACCATCTGGCAGACGGTACCGGTAAATAAAAACAAGGACAAATAGGCTGAAAAACAGCTTCTGTCCCAGGGCAGTAACTATATTGAATTCTAGGGTATAGTGCAATATTAATGCAATATCAGGGGTTTTCAATTTCAATTATACAGCATGTGAAGGAGGTGTGTTTGTGTTTTTATTTCTATAGTTATAATGTACACTGAAGATGACATTTAATTTTGTTGTACGGGGTGCAGTGACAATAAACTAAACTAAACTAAATTCATTTTTCTAGTAAAAGAACTTCTTCCATTTGGGAAATACTGGCTACTAGTGAAAACCCAAACCAATGAGTACCACCTACAAGACAATCCCATCCTTTCCTGCAAATAAATGGGAAAGAAGAGTCTAAGGTCAACTTTCAAACAAGTACCCAGGTCTCTGGATACAAAGAGGTAAGAAAAGCTGTACTGTTTTTTGTTTTTTTTAATTTCCACACACTTTCCCATCAGCAGTTTCACTTAATCCACTCGAAGGAAAGTATTAATTGAAAAACAAATGTTGGCAATTACATTTATTCCTACCCAGCTGGTTTCCCGATGCTGATATACTTCTTAACAATGCAGAATTTCCCCAGGCTCAGCAATGGCTCATAGTAAAATGGATTGGCCTCCTGACCCACATCTCTCGTGGAAAAAGGACTGTGGCTGGAACAGCCTTCCTAATTCTCTTCCGGTTGGGGACGGACTCTCCCTGCAAGCAGGAACTCTCCCCTGTGCTTGGAAGCCTTGCTCCAATAGGACCCTGGGTTGAAGACCAAGGCGGGAATCCTTTCTCCTCTGGCTCTTCCTTCCCGGGGCAGCCTCCTACTGATCCTCCTCCAAAACTCAAACCTAGACTGACACCACCACCCCCGCCTTTTTGTCAGGTAATGAGGATTTAATAGCTGCCATCTGATGTAAGGTTGTAATCTGTAAGATGATGCAATGAGGATGATTCAGCAATACAGGTATCGCCAGTTTAAGACTCTGGTGGGGTCCACACATGTCATTTACCATTTTAAGAGGTGGCCATTAGAGGGCGTTTCTCTCTCTCTCGTCGTGTATCTCATTTCTCTCCTTGTGTCCGTAGCTGGGTGGTAAGGGATTTATCTACCATGTATATGTCTGTATATATTTGTATATAAACCCCTATTAATTGTCTAAAGGCTGTGTGCTGTGTTTTGCTCCTGGGTTTATCTCATAATAATAGTCACACTACGAAATCTCTTGACACTTTTGCGGTGTCTGATTCCTATTCTGATAGCTGATTCCTATTCTGATAGCTGATTCCTATTCGATCCCAAGGAATCCAGTTCTGCAGGATCTCCCCCTGACACAAGGGGGAGCTGAAAGACGTCGTCTGAACCAGGCATCGCTCTCCAAAAGTTGGAGGGTGCAGAGAGCCGGATGAAGAGAGGGTTTCAAATCACTTCATCCACTGACAGGGGGTCCAATTTTGACTTACCCTCCTGTCCTCGTTATCATTTTGCAAATGTTTACAAACAAATATCTACTCATTCGGAGTTTTACGTGAAGGGAATCGTGCGGGAGGAGGCCTGTTATTGAAGCTATCACCTGCTCATTCTCTGTAGGTGAGGCTCCTCTCATTCATCAGAGCATTCCCCCCACCCACCCCCAAAAAAGCTGTGGGCGAAAAGCTGTTTGCGTGTTCTCCTTACCGTGCTGTACACAGCCGAGACGGTGGGAGTGAAGATCCGATCCTCCAGGGGCTGTTGTACAGGACCCCGGGGGATTCTGCAAAACAACAAGTTAAGGAAGAAAAAGGGGAGAAAAAAACCCACCACAATTGAAGGATAAGTATGTTTTCTACGAACAATTTTTTTTTCTTCTAATGAAGTCGGCCTCTTAATTCAGGAGAAGCCGATGCCACGAACTGTGACATCCACACAGGAGCCAGAACAAGGTTTGCAACAAGAGTTCCTGCACATAAGTGAAAACTAACATTTACTGTGTTTCCCCCAAAATAAGAGTGTCTTATTTTCTTTTGACCATCCACCCCCGAAATAAGCGGGGAGGTCTTATTATTTTTGAGGTGCAGGAGACAGCGAGTGCGGCCACCTCATGGCTGGTGCTGCGTTGCAGTATTTTCGGGGAGGGCTTATTTTAGCGCATGTGTTCAAAAGCTTGATTGGGGAGGTCTTATTTTCGGGGAAACAGGGTATTCGTGAAGTAGCACAGGCACAGCGTCCCTTCCAGTCGCCTGGCACGTTCTGCCCAAGGGCACAGAAACGGAGCGTGCATTTCCTCACTGGTGGTTTTCCCCCCACTAACTGTCCTTTTATTCTTCCTCACAGTTCTGGGAACTAGAATTAATAAACTGACCAACGTGCCATTTAAATCAGCTGCCCCAGATAAACTATTAAAAGTGCTGTCACAATCCAGAGTAGGCCCTCTGAACTGCAGGTAAGTGCAGGACTGGAGGATTCTTTTCAAAGCCCTAGAAAAATATCCCCAGGAAATCATCGGCGACCAGATTGTTGGGAATTTTCTTTGCTGCTTGTTAAGATGCTGATCTCTTTTTAAAAGATGCCTGAGACTCACTAACCAGGGCTTCAGAGGAGAATCTACAGGCTTTCCCCCACATTCTTGGGAATGACACAAGAGGCTACCCAGGAATACACAGAACGCTTTGATCGGCCTCTGGGTAAGCAGCCGATGAGCCAGGCAAAAACATGAGGTGAGGGATTCAATCTTTTTCAAATGCACCAAGGTTTGTTATCCAAATATCAAAAGTTGTCCTTTCGGCTTATGGACTTGGGAGACGCCTCAAAGCTAAAAGCATAAATAGCACTAGCACTTAAGACTTATACACCGCTTCACAGTTGCTTTTACAGCTCTCTCTAAGCCGTTTATAGAGTCAGCCTCTTGCCACCCAACAATTTGGGTTCTCATTTTACCAACCTCAGAAGGATGGAAGGCTGAGTCAACCTTGAGCCCGATCAGGATCTAACTGTTGGCTGTAGACAGAGTTAGCTTGCAATATTGTATTCTAACCACTGGGAAGGAAGGAAGGAAGGAAGGAAGGAAGGAAGGAAGGAAGGAAGGAAGGAAGGAAGGAAGGAAGGAAGGGCAGTTAGACTTATATACCACTTTACAGTTGCTTTTACGGCACTCTCTAATTGGTTTACAGAGTCAGCCTCTTGCCCCCAACAATCTGGGTCCTCATTTTACTCACCTCCGAAGGACGGAAGGCTGAGTCAACCTTGAGCCTGGTGAAATTTGAACTGCCAAATTGCAGGCAGCCAGCAGGCAGCAGAAGGAGCCTGCACTACTCCACTCTAACCACTGCGCCACCAAGGCTCATAGACACCAAACGGAAGACCCAGCTACCTGTAACTGCTCTGCCTCAGAAGAATAGATGGCCACGGATGCCACAAAATTAACAAGCCTGGTATTCTCTTTCCCCACACCTCCTTAAGTTATGGAGATTGAAATTCTTAGCTTTCCAAAAGTACGGAATACAGGTAGTCCTCAACTTTGCTTAGTGATCGTCCAAAGAGACGCCCTTGGAAAACAGTGACTTACAAGAAAGGTCCAAGGGGAAACGCCAGATTCGCTGAACCATCGTGTGACTAACTGCAGCAATTCGCTTGGCAAAGAAAAGTCGCAAAATGAGACAGACAAAACTCACTTAAGGAATTTCTCACTTTGCAACATAAATTTGGGGCTCCATTGTGGTCGCTGAGGACGACCTGTACATAAAAGCTTCCTAAATGATTCCATGTGAATCACGCCCATCTACAAACTCTTCTTTGTGGTGGCACCTCCACAGGCCAACTTTGAATTAATAAACTAGGTTTCCAAAGATCTGAACACTAAGATCATGGCATCCGGCGCTCTCAATTCCTGGCAAATAGATGGGGAAGAAATGGAGGTAGTGATTGATTTTATTTTCCTGGGCTCCAAGATCACCGCAGATGGGGACTGCAGCCAAGAAATTAAAAGAGGCTTGCTCCTGCGGAGGGAAGCCATGGCAAATCTAGACAGCCTACTAAAAAGCAGAGACATCACCCTGCCAACAAAAGTGCCTCTAGACAAGGCTGTGGTTTTCCCAGTTGCAATGGATGGCTGTGAAAGGTGGACCATAAGAAAGGCTGAGCGCCAAAGAATGGAGGCCTTTGAACTCTGGTGCTGGAGAAGACTCCTGCGAGTCCCTTGGACTGCAAGGCCATCCAACGGATCAGTCCTAGAGGAGATCAACCCTGACTGCTCTTTAGAAGGCCGGATCCTGAAGAGAAAACTCAAATACTTTGGCCACCTCATGAGAAGGAAGAAGGACCCCCTGGAGAAGAGCCTCATGCTGGGAATGATGGAGGGCAAAAGAAGAAGGGGACGGCAGAGAAGGAGGTGGCTGGATGAAGTTACCGAAGCAGCAGGTGTGAACTTAAATGGACTTCGGAGGATGGTAGAGGACAGGAAGGCCTGGAGGAATGTTGTCCATGGGGTCATGATGGGTTGGACACGACTTCGCAACTAACAACCCACAAGATCCAGAGAGGAAGACTCAGAAGATTTGCACGGGCCACCCCAGGGAGGGATTAAAACATCACTTGGTTCAGACAATACAATTTTCTCAGATTTTCAGCCCTTTTATCATTGTTTGCTGACAGCCTTCCCAGGTTCAACGCAGAGACAGCTGTTATTGACACAACTCAGAGGAGAGCAATGTCGCAATTTGGGGCATGCAATAACACCCAGCAAGCAAAGCAGAGAATCACTCTTTTGTTCCTCCAATTTGTTGCCCTAAAAAAAAACCTTGCAGGTTTTTGATGGGCATTAAATAACACACGTTTCATGTTTAAAATGTAAACGTAGATTGGGGGGGGGGGGAGAGACAGCAAAAGTTTTGAAAAACTCACCTAACACACATCGCCTCGCAGAAAATTGGGACGTCTGCGTCGAAAAACCCACTTCCTGTAGAACCCGGAATCTCGACCTCAGCTCGTACGCTTTCCCCGATCAATGAGGGGTTTGTTTCCCCCAAACAATGCCACGGGACGTCCAGCTGACTGAGAAAACCCCATTATGAGCCGCAACAAGCCCTTGACTAAACTGCAGTTCCGACTTCTGAACGGAAACCTGAGCTAACAAACAGGCATAGGTCTTAAAAATAAAAAATCCATCATGTGACATGTCACAGCACTGAAAAAAAAGAGGCCGGTGACACAGCAAAACACGTGTGTTCTGCACTTTGAAATGCAGACATATGATACTAATACGCAAGGTTTGTGAGCTCGGAGGAGGGGGAAAAACACAAGATAAACAAAAGTGACTTTTTTTCTTCTTTTTTAATAAAGAGAATAAAGAACAAGTGGTGGTCAGCTTGCAACCAAAATAATAGAGCTCCAAATTTATGTTGCTAAGTGAGACCTTTTGCCGAGTTGAGTTTGGCCCCACTTTAACGTTCGTTAAGTGAATTGCGGCACTTGTTAAATGAATAATCCTGCCTGTGCGGTGAAGTCTGGATTCCCCTATGGACTTGGCTTGTCAAGGAGGTTGCAAAAGAGGATCGCATGATCAGGGGACCCCGCGACCATCATAAATGCAAGTCAGCTGTCAAGCGCCTGAATGTGAATCACTCCTTTCGGTCCTGTTGTCACTTCAAATGGTCACTAAGTGAACTGTCGTAAGTCGAGGACTACCTGTGTTCCCTGAATGTCACCTTCTGGAGAAACCATCCTGCCATTCGGTTGTGTGGCTTCCTCATCCACCACGTAAGAGCAACATCTATCCGACAAAGCCCGTCCCAGGGATATTAATTTACTTTCACCAAGGGGACCGTCGTCTGACCGAGGCTTCCCAAGAGCCTGAAGCAAACTCCTTGTCCCAACAAAAAACCCTTTTATTAATTGACTGTGAATTCTGCTCATTCCCACCAAGCAAAGTCTTTCAAGGGAGGATTTACGGTCACAGACTTTCTCTGGCTTGGAGAGCTGCCAGGCCGATATCTGCAGAACTTGGCAAGGAGTCTCTGAGAGTCAGGAACCAATGAAGCGAACTAATTGCCTCCTGCAAGCTCCACTCCCCTTTCGCTCCTCTTTTATTTCCTCTGGGAGAGGCCATTCATCGTCCATCTGTGGCCTTCCTCCCAAGTCAACCACTGTTCCTTAGCTGTTCCCGTCGTCTGGCAACTCTGCGCATGCTCACGCTGGGAACAGGCTCCAGCTGTTCATCTGCCTCACTGATGTCTGACTCCGAAGGCAGCTGATAACTGGCATATGGCTCTGGCCTCTTCTCTGCCTCCGACACAGAGCCCTCCTCAGAGCGTTCCCCAGACTCCAGGACTGGCCCATGTTCCTCCCCAACCTCCTCACTGTCTGAATCTGCTGCCAGCTCTACTGGCAGGCCACAACAGACCCTCAAAATTGGGAGGAAGGGTCAGGGTACCATGTGCTGTCATCCTTGATGCCAGGAACAAACCTTGTCCCCTGGCATGATTAAAAAAAATAAAAATAAGTTCAACTCTCAGGATCCATTTCTAAAAGCCAGGGGGAGCTGAATTATTTTAGCTAATTACATTGTATGAGTAAATGCAATAAATAACTGTGAGGGAATAAATAAAGAAGCTCTCTAAAATTAAAAAAGGAAAGGAAGGAAAAGGAAAGGGAGGAAAGAAGGAAAAGGAAAGGAAAGAAAGGAAAAAGGAAAGGAAAAAGGAAAGGAAAAAGGAAAGGAAGGAAAAGGAAAGGGAGGAAAGAAGGAAAAGGAAAGGAAAGAAAGGAAAAAGGAAAGGA